ATGAAGAGGAGCATGGGTGAAGAAGAAACACCATTTTTTCAGGTTGACTTCAAGAGACGGAAACAGGCAGTAGTTAGTATTCTAGCACATGCGGCTGGGGGCAGGTGTTTTCTTTGTAGATTTCAACATGATGTTCACTTGTAGAACAATCAATGCTAGTTGCAGGGTAGTGGGTAGGATGAGGTAGATTGTAAACAGGTTGGGGCTGTCTCCTTGAACCAGGCTGGGCAAATTCCTATGACGCAAAATGAAGGGGAAGAGTTTCCAGTAGTGGCAGGTCCTTGCCACTCCTGGCCCCACCCACAAAAGTGTGCAAGAAGCAGGTTACTTAATAGAAGGATTGGCAACCACCCAGTGTATACTCTAGTGGCCAAAAACATTAATTAGGGTTCTGCTGAGTCTCCTAAGCCATCAGTTGATAGGCTGAAGTTGATACGCTGAGCAGTTTCCTATCTCACCACTGGAGAGTGAACTGCTTTGACTCACCCCCTACCTGTTTTAAACAGAACCTCTCCAGACTAACTTAAGAGAGTCATTCATTTTCTAATTCTCTCCTGTAAGATACAATGAATAGTGTGTGTATTCGTGGGTGTGTGTATTTGCGAGGTCTTTTGGGCAAGTCTCAGTGTGTCTCTGTGAGATTTCAATATAGAATCAAAGTATATTGTGGAGTTTAAAACAAACATGGCCCAATCACTGGGAATTTAGAAATTCTGACTGAATAGGCCTAGAGTAAGGCCTAGGCACTATTGTTATTTTTGTAATTTTAAACTTTTTAAATACATAAAAAGCGGGCAATAAAATTATAATTTTTATTTATTTATTTATTTTTTAATAGAGGCATGTTTTATTTATTTATTTGTTTGTTTGTTTTGTTTATACATGCACTGGGTACAGTCAGAAGCACGGGAGGGTGAGAGAATTCACCAGAGCCAGAGCGGGGAGCAGAGCAGGCAGAAGGACTGAAGTACACTGCTGAGGGGAGCAGCGGGCAGCAGGCGAGGTCTGCGCGCCATGTGGGACCCTCCTCTGGTGGCCGGGGAGCAGCCGGGGATCCAACAGGCGCCACGGAGGCCCCGGGCAGCTTCGCAACCCAGCGCTCAACTGCTGGGCCACCGGGGAGGCCCCGGGCAATAAAATTAAATGGTGCAAAAAAGTAATAGTGAAAAGAAAGTTTTCTCACTCCAGTATCCTAGTTTTCTACAAAGGTAACCACTACTTCCAGTTTCTTGTGTGTCCTTCCAGAGATAGTTTGTGGAAATATACAACGAATTCCTCTGTTAAACAAAAGTGATAGAATCCTATACTTACTGCTCTGAACCTTCTCAGGTGCAGGTTTTTAAAAAGCTTCCAAGAGGGCCTCCCCGGTGGCGCAGCGGTTGAGAGCTGGGTTGCGAAGCTGCCCGCGACCTCTGCGGCGCCGGCTCGATCCCCGGCTGCTCCCCGGCCACATGAGGAGGGTCCCACATGGTGCGCAGACCTCTCCTGCCGCCCGCTGCTCCCCTCAGCAGTGTACTTCGGTCCTTCTGCCTGTTCTGCTCCCCGCTCTGGTGAATTCTCTCACCCTCCCGCGCTTCTGACTGTACCCAGTGCTTGTATAAATAAATAAAAAATAAATCTTTAAAAAAATTAATTAATTAAAAAAAGGAAAAGCTTCCAAGAGATTTTGAAGTGAACTCTTCATTAAAAACCACTAGTAAAAGCTGTGCTTCTGTTTCCCAGAAAAACCCCACAAACAAATCTGTTAAAAATCTTTTACATCCAGCTTTAGGTATTCATCAGCTCCCTCAAGCCCTTGATCTAAATTCATCTGATTAGGAGTCCCTGACACAGGCTGTTTAATCTAAGATCATCCTGAGTGTTGTCAGATAAAATATAGGATGCCTAGTTAAATTCAAATTTTTTTTAAAGATTTATTTATTTATTTATACAAGCACTGGGTACAGCCAGAAGCGCGGGAGGGTGAGAGAATTCGCCAGAGCCAGAGTGGGGAACAGAACAGGCAGAAGGACCGAAGTACACTGCTGAGGGGAGCAGCGGGTGGCAGGAGAGGTCTGAGTGCCATGTGGGACCCTCGCCTGTGGCCCGGGAACGAACCGGCGCTGCAGAGACTGCGGGCAGCTTCGCAGCCCAGTGCTCAACCGCTGCGCCACCAGGGGAGGCCCTAAATTCAAATTTTTGATAGACAACTATTTTTCTTTTATGTCCCCTGTAACATTTGCAATGTCTTTAATTCAAATGTAACTGAGAGCCCTGCATTTTTATTTGCTAAACCTAGACCTTACAGAAAAGTTTGACTCATTGGGAGCTGTTTCTTTTTTTTTTTTTAAAGATTTATTTATTTATACAAGAACCAGGGTACAGGCCAGATACGCAGGAGGCTGAGAGGATTCACCAGAGACAGAGTGGGGAACAGAACAGGCAGACTGACGAAATACACTGTTGAGGGGAGTAGTGGGCGCGACAGGAGAGGTCTGCAGCTCCATGTGGGACCCTCGCCTGCCGGCGGGGATCGAACCAGTGCTGCAGAGGCTGCGGACAGCTTCACAGTGCCCCACTCAACCACCTGCGCCACCAGGGAGGCCCTCATTGGGAGCTATTTGAACTAATTCTTTCTACAGTGTTCTCTATTAGAGATGACCTAGATTACAATTATAGGACCAGCTTCTCCAGGCAAAAGTCAAATTCAGGGTTTAACAAGAAATTGGATATTTGTTGTCTTAATTAAAATTAAATGACTGTAAGAGTAAATATTGTATGTAAAAATAATCCCCAACAGTTTCTGATTATCTAAATAATCAACAGCCTTTTAAGTTGCCATGCTGATAGTATGTATTTGTGTATATGACTGTATGAGTATGAAACATCTCTGGGAGCCTCCCTTGCGGCCTAGTGGTTGTCTCTGCCCTACTACACTGACAGCCTGAGTTCAATCCCTGGTCAGGGAGTTAACCCACATGGCACAGCAGACCTCTCCTGTTTCACCCACTGCTCCCTTCAGCAGTATATTTCACTAGATCCACCTGTTCTGCTCCCCACTGTCTCTGGTGAATCCTCTCACTCCCCCCCCCCACTTCTGACCTACAACCCAGTTCTTCTACTAAAAATTTATTGTTTTGTTGTGGTATTTTCACTTTTTAATCATTTTTACTTAAAGACTTTATTAAGTAGTGAATTTTAATATTGTAGACAAATTTTGTAAATTACAAATAATTATTTAATGGAGAGTTAAACTAGTCATGTGAATTATATTTAAATTTATAGTAATATAGAAAGAATTTTCCTAACATTTTGAAGAGAAATGAGTTGTTAAAGGATGGAGTGCTGTCCAGAAACTTTGAAGAAAATGTTCATGTAGAAGATTGTTCAGTTGGGGAATTATGTAAATAGGATGGTTGAGGATAGTCTTTAATGTAAATGGTGTTTTACTTTTTCAAGGGGGAAGCATGTAATTTTGGCTTAAATTATGTTTCATTTGTTTTAACATTAATGGCAATACTTAGATACAATTAATCTTAGTATTGCAATTGTTCTAAAAATAAGACATCAATTCAATACATGTATTTTCCATTACAAATAAATGTTACTGGTAATTACTAAATACATTCATGATGTCTGTGGAGTGAGGCAGAGAGAGGGGAGGTAAATGTTAGATGATATAACTTGAAGGAATTCTACTTGAAATGGAGGCAGTAAAGAATATTAGAAAGTGTTCAGTCAATTCTTCCAAGTTTTTTCAATTCATGGCACACTTAAGCATTTAAATAGTGGTCTGAACCCACTTGGAAGAGAGTATTTGTATGCTCAAGCTGGGCTTAGAGAAAAGCGACAGAGAATTCAGCAAGACTGGCGACTGGTCTGTTAGGAAGGCTCATGTTATTTGCTTCAACCCCAAGGGAGAACAGCTAGACAGGGACAAGGATTGAAGCGGAAGAGGTTGGGGCTTAGGAGCAGGTCCTAAAGGGGAGGAGTTTCAAATGCTGACAAGCAATAGTGAGAACTAAAGACACCCAGCTGTAGTGTCACATATAGGAATACTTTGTGACTGGACTGTGTGTGCGTGTGTGTGTGTTACACAAGTAATTAATGCTAAAGCATAAAGCATATGTTAAGGACTTGCTAAGCGTACTTGATACCTAGTAGCACCAGCCAAACTTGCTGATCAGTTAATGATTGCTCAGAAAGGCCGGGAAATAACTCCACAGAGGAAAAAGGAAATGGTGGACCTGCCGCCCAGCTTCAGCTACTGAGAGATCTCTGATTAGGCTCGTGGTATTTCCAAGGAGTGTGGCTTCCATTTCCCTCCCCTCTACCCCCTCAAGAAACACATTTCAGAAATGGGGTTCTCTTCTACAGGTGACAGTTCGGCTTACATTTGTCTATGGTCTTCCATCCCGTGTCATGGCAACACCCCAAAAGGAATGCTGCAAGATTTGGCTCTTTTTATGATTTCCTGACAGAGCTTACAAAATTAAAATGTTTTATTAGAGACAGAATTGGGGGGCACATTGCATTCATATTTGACGTTTCATCTCTACCTATCTGGTGATTGCCAAGATCGCCTCAACACAGCCACACCTTTTTTCTTTCCAACAATTTTTCACATTCTAAACCCAAGGATTTGGACGAGGGTTCCTAGCCAGGTTTCTCCCCAGTGGAGCAGGTAAGAACAGGAAGGAAGGGCGGGTGACTGGAGTTGCCTCGTCTGAGGGGGCTCGGGGTGAAGAAGGGCGGTAGGCATTTTCTCTCCTCTCCTTTTCCACACTGGAGACAGAATTTCGAGCGGGGCCGTGGACAGTCGAGCGGGCAGGGACGGGCGGGAACGGAGCCAGCGGGAGAGGCACCTTCGCGCAAGTGGACCCTGCGGGCCGCGGCCCGGCGCGAGCGGGTCCGCCCCGATCCCAGGGTGCACCGCGCCGCCCCTCCCCTCGCCGCGCCCCTCCCCCGAGCCCCCTCCCAGCCGGCTCCGGGAGGCGGGGACGCGGCGGCGGCGGCTTCTCCTCAGTCGCGTCTCTCTCGCTCACTGGGGAGCCCCGCGGTGGCGGTGCCTTCGGAGCCGGAGCCGCGCGTCCGCCCGCTGGCCAGAGGGAGGTCGCCTGGACTGACGGCCGCGCCGACAGACCGACGGACGCGGGCAGCTGGACGGCCGCCCGCCGGGAGTTCCGCCATGAGCTGGGGCACGGAGCTGTGGGTGAGTCGCGGGGGGCGTCGCGCGGCGGGGTCGGGCTGGGCGGGCCCGAGCGCCCGTCGGGCGGCCGGAGCGCGTCGGGCCGCCGCAGCCCCTGGCACTGGCGAGGGGTGGGGACCCCGCGCCCCTTTGTGTGCGGACCCCGCGGCCGGGGCGCCCGCGGCTCTGCGCTCCCGCGCCCGGCGGCGGCGGCGGGGCCGGGGGAGCGCCGGGACCGTCCGGGAGCGGCCCCCGGGCGCCCGCGCCGCCGCCTTCCTCGCGCGCCCGCCCCGCGCCTCAGCCCCAGCCTCAGCCTCGCTCCCGACGCCCCTCGCCGCCGGCCTCGCTGCCTCCCCGGCGCCCCGCTCGAGGCGGGGGGGGGCCCATTGTCCCGAAGGGGCGCCGCTCGCGGGCGGTTTCGGGGCCGTCGCGGCCCCCAGCCGGGGGGGAGTCCCCGGGGCCAGGGCGGCGCCGGGCCGGGGCGGCGCGGGGAGCCTCGCGACGCCGCCCGCGCCCGCCCCGCGCCCCAGGTAGGGGGGAGCCGGCGGCTTTGTTCCGAGGCCGCCTCCGGCCAGCCAGGCCCCGCCGCACGCCCTTTCCCTCCCCGCGCCCCGCGCCGGCCGCGCTCCGCGGGGTCGTCCGGCGGCTGCCCTCGGGCCGGGCGGGGCATTGGGTTCGGGTGATCGATGGAGAAGCCGGTTTTGCCCAGAGGAGCAAATTGCTTTATCCTTCCCTCCCTTCCGTTCTTTATTCTCTGCTCCTTTCATTTTTCCTCCTTGCCTTTCTCGGGCACGGGAGGCTCCAGACAATGCCCGCTGCCTAGCCAAGGTGCGGGTGGAGTGCGAGAGGGCGAGGAATTCCTCGCAGCGTCGCCGCGCAAGGGTGGAGGTGTGGGGCGCAGTGATTTCCCAGGTGCCGGAGGGACAGGGGGCGTGGGGGCGCTGTCCCGCAAGCCTGCCGGCCTCAGCCACTCCCCTTTCCAGCCCACCTGTGCGTGTTTGCCGTGCCTTTTGTTAACGAGGAGCTCCTGAAATCATTCCCCGGGAAGGGAAGAGAACTTTTTTTGTCTGTGTAGCTACGAGCCGTTAGGATGGGAGTGAAGGCAGGTGGGTTAATTGAAGGGCAGAATGTTTTCTTATTTTTCACACATCACAAATTGGGAGTTCTCGGACTGAGGATCAGGCTCGTACTCAGCCGGCCCAGGAATCTCCTGCAGCATTCTGCACAAGTGGTTTGCCATGTCTGTAAACACACCACCCAAGAGGAGGTATCTCAGGACTCTCCCCATTTCTTTTCTTAGATAGCATTAATTGCTCTTTACTGGGTAGGATTTTTTAGTAAATGAATTATATACAAATTGACCTCTGTTTTGTTTAGATTCTCAGGCATTTTCACCCCCCCACCCACGTTCTATGATTGATTTCAGAGTCATCTATTAAAGGAGATGAGTATAGTTTGATTTTCCGTTTTTATAATAGAAAATATTTTTGTTTTTACATATTTCAATAACCACATTACAGAGGGACATAACTAGGAGTAATAGGCTAAGTGGATTGTGCCAGATTTTTGTTGTGTAGTTGTAAGGGGATAGGAATTAACTGATAATAAATTTCAACTGTGCTTTAAGGGCTTTCCGGTGCTCCAAATGAGCTTTTTAAGACTCAATTCTGGATTCAGACAAAGAGATGACAGCTGTCTTCTTTAGCATGCAACGTAATTATAAGATAGCATTTCAGGTGTGTTGATTTCTTTATTACTATAGGAAGAATGGTAGGATCAAAAAGCATCTAAATATGAATTAATGATTGCACAAAACAGATTGGTAATTAACTTTTTTTTTTTACAATTAAGGAAATCAGAGATTGAAGTCTTGTTTTTATAAATAGCATTATTAGGAGAAAGCTTTTTAAGTTTTTTCAGGAGTCAAAGTTCACAGGAAAAAAATCTGTTTATGGATAGCGAGTGTATGTCTAGATATGAAAACAATATGGTTCAGCACATCGCATTCATATCTGATTTTAAAAAAAATTTACTACCAAAGGGAAATGAGGTGATTAGACTAGAAGTTAGAAAATAGCTTCAAATGTCTGACTTAATATGTAGGGTCTTCTAACCCTTTCTGTGACTTAGTTTCATGATCTGTGTGATTTTTGCCTTTAGTTTTAAGAGAGAATAATTTAAAAGCCACTGTTATTTTAATCCTATTATTAAGTGCATCTGACAACTCATGCTGCCTCTTTGGAAGAAATGGAAACCTGTGCATTGTATGATAGATTCAGTGGATTCTTTCTGTAATACCCCAATCTCAGTCCTTCACGCTCCCTTCTAGATGACACGTACATTGTAAGTGTGCTAGACTTTTGAGTCCTTATGTGTAGGAATTGGGTTAATCTTTTCCTTTGTTTTCACTGACTAAAACAATGCCTGTAGGTGATAATGCATGTTTTGCCCAATTGAGTTAATAGTTCACTGCATTACCGTGTAGGCCTTCTATACCTACTATACTCTAGGTATAGTAGAAAGGTGGTTTAAGTAACAGTTCAAGATGGAACAAGATTGTAGGGTAAGGTAAAAGTATCAGGCTTGTCTGCCCTCCCGCCTTTAGGATAGATGACGGAACCCTGTGGTCCGGAATGCATGCCTGATGGCGGGCACCTGGAGTAGTGTGTGGGCATAGGTAGATGGGATTCACCTGGGCTAAGACGGGCTTTTAAGGGTGGCGTCACAGGGACGCCAGCAGAACCCGAGAAAGGGGCAGAGAAGCTGAGAGAGAAGCAGAGCCATGAAAAGAGCAGAGAGAACGTGAGAGAAGGCTGGAGAGCCCAGAGTGAAGACTTGCTGGGTGCTGGGAGGCCTGCCAGCCTCCCGGCCGCCCAGTGCCCCTGCCTGCCGTGTGCCTGATGAATCCCAATAAAAGCCTGCAAAAGCCACTGAGGGCTCCAGGACTCCTCCTTTACCAGGTCTGCTGGATCAGAAAACCTGCCCAGTGGCCCGTCCTGCCCCTACAAAGATGAAACAAAAATCAAGTTTTGCAGATTGGGGAGAACTAAACTAGAGGTAGTTCTTGTGAATTTACCTGATAACTTGGTGATGTGACTGTGAAAATATTAATAGCTGGTAAAGTCTAAGGTCACATTATTAATATGTCTAGAACAAGGGAATTTGTTTCCATTGTAGTCTGTAATAGACCATATTTTAATATTGACTTTAGTTTTACTTCAGGTTTTTTAGCGGGCACTTACTTTAAGAAGGTTGACAAACTATCTCTCTGAATTTTACTCCTTTTTTCAAAGGCCATGAGACTGCCTGTAGGAATTACCTAAACAATAGTGTTTGTTACAGGGAAGCACTTTGCAATATGTGGTGACTTAATGTCCATTCTCCTGTGAAGAAACTTGAGTCATATTGTAGTGATACTGTTTTTCTAAGCCCAAAATACTGTCCTACATTGATATCACTGTCCAGAATGTCCTCTGTTGACCAGTTCCTATTAGCTCTCTTTCTTCAAACTCACAGTTGGAAATTATCTTTCTTATGGGACTACCACCTTACAGTTATTTATTGTACATTTTATCTTTGGAAAATTGTCCTGGTATAAATACAGCTTACATTCCTTTTTGTTGGTAGACACTGTCATGTTCAATATTGTACTACAGACATTTTTTTATTTTTTTTTATTTTATTTTATTTTTTTTGTTTATACATGCACTGGGTACAGTCAGAAGCGCGGGAGGGTGAGAGAATTCACCAGAGCCAGAGCGGGGAGCAGAGCAGGCAGAAAGACCGAAGCACACTGCTGAGGGGAGCAGCGGGCGGCAGGAGAGGTCTGCACGCCATGTGGGACCCTCCTCAGGTGGCCGGGGAGCAGCCGGGGATCGAACCGGCGCCGCAGAGGTCGCCGGCAGCTTCGCAACCCAGCGCTCAACCACTGCGCCACCGGGGAGGCCCCATTTTTTTAAATAATAATACATAACAAATGAGGCGTAGTTCATTTGGATAACAGGTCTCAGTGTATGTTTACGATGTTCAGGCACTATTTTTTTTTAAAGATTTATTATTTATACAAGAGCCGGGGTACAGTCCGGATGCGCGGGAGGGTGAGAGGATTCAACAGAGACAGAGCGGGGAACAGAACAGGCAGACTGACGAAATCCACTGCTGAGGGGAGCAGCGGGTGAGACAGGAGAGGTCTGCTCGCCATGTGGGTTGCTCTGAGGCCAGAGGAGATCAAACCTGCACTGCAGAGGCTGGGGACAGCTTCACAGTGCTGCACTCAACCACCTGCCACCAGGGAGGCCCTCAGGCACTATTTTTATTTATTTTTTATTTATTTATTTTTTTAAATAGAGGCATGTTTTATTTATTTGTTTGTTTGTTTTTGTTTATACATGCACTGGGTACAGTCAGAAGTGCGGGAGGGTGAGAGAATTCACCAGAGCCAGAGCCGGGAGCAGAGCAGGCAGAAGGACCAAAGTACACTGCTGAGGGGAGCAGCAGGCGGCAGGAGAGGTCTGCGCGCCATGTGGGACCCTCCTTTGGTGGCCGGGAGCAGCCGGGGATCGAACCGGCGCTGCAGAGGCCCGCTTCGCAACCCAGCGCTCAACCGCTGCGCCACCGGGGAGGCCCTTAGGCACTATTTTTATGCATACAAGGGCTGGGGCACAGGCCAGAGACCACGGTGGGGGGGGGGCGCAGGGAGTGTGTGTGTGTGTGTGTGTGTGAGAGGGGGGGGGATTCACCAGAGACAGTGGGGAACAGAACAGGCAAGGCAGACTGACTGAAATGCACTGCTGAAGGGAGCAGCGGGCAAGGCAGGAGAGGTCTGCTGTGCCATGTGGGTTGTTCCTTGGCTGATCAGGGATCAAACTCGTGCTGCAGAGACTAGGGATCAAACTCGTGCTGCAGAGGCTACGGTTTGCTTCATCGTGTGGTGCTTAAACCCTTGGGTTACCAGGGAGGCCCCCTATAGACGACATTTGTTAGAGAGGGTGAGTGTTACCAAGATACCTCCTTATGCCACCATG